CAAAAACAATCAAATAATATTTTTTGAATTTCTTTAATTGTGATTGTATATATATCGTTATTTATTAAGTTGACGTTTCCACTTAATTATCCCGTATTGTCGCATGTTCGGGAAAATGAGGGCTTCAAGTCTTACTCGAACAAATTTATACGTAAAAAAATAGAATCCCATGTTTAGCAGTACCCTCTGAGGTATTCTCTGAATCCTACAGGATTTTATACATATATGCTCTTATATATGGCCTCAAGAGGATTCTTATAGAATCAAAAGGGGAACACGCCAAGCACAATATTCTCAAAGTTAGAATTTCGTGTTTTAGAATTTCATACTAGAAAATTTCGTCTTTCATCTACGATACAAGTCATATTCTTAATAAAAATTTCTTCTAGTAAGACCCTACTTCAAGTAAATACATACTCCGTTTGATACAAAAGACAAAAAAGACTAGAATAGTATCTAGTAGATTTCGGATTAAGACGCTTTTCTCTACCTCATCAATAGAGGAACACCCTGTAGGTGTAAAGATACAATATGGCACTACAGGAAATAATATCTTGCAGCTTTTTTTGGAGTGTATTTATATGCACAAATGTATATGCTATTATTCACGGGAACGCGGTCGTATAGAAACAAATTCAAAAGCGAGCTCAAAATACACGACGCGCGCTAAAAAGTTCATTGAACCCAAAATTTAATTAAACCAGCGACCATAGTGAGGATACTCATCGCTACGAGCGCATTCTATTTTGTCTCGAAACGAGTTTAGTTTAAATCGAAGTATCGGAGCCAGCGGAGAAATGACGTCGGCTATAACAGCCACAATGACTACGGCGACCGTACGACGTAGCTCGGCTTAACCTCAACGGCTCATAATTGCTTTCCGATTAGATACCGTCGTTCCAATAGCGTTATTTTCAATTCTGCTGTACGCAGCGCGTATCGACAGCTATACCGAGGCAAATTCAACAGGCGGCCATGTGCACGCGGCTCTTTGTACACTTTTCCGATTAATAGCGAGAGAAATGGAACGGCCGGCCACGCGCGGTGACCATCCACTACCGTCCAATCCCGTCGGCGTGATACGCGACGTTTCGCGTTCCTCGGAACGTTTGACTTGCGCGATCGATCGCAATCGTCCGTCAAGATGATTATTCGCCGCTTTTGTCTCTCCTAGCCGAGCTAGCTCGAATATTTTTTTCCCTTTTCAACAAAGATAAAACCGTGGGCGCAGCCCAATTTCCAGTTGCGCGTCGGCGGACATTAATGTTCGATGTCCAGCGACGGGGGGATTACGGATTTTTGTAACGTCCTGTGCTTCCATTTAGTTAATAATAATGCACGCGCTATTAGTAATTATCCGAATCGATTTTTCCGGCGGTACATCGAGAATCCATCAGCGTCTTCCTCTTGGTCAATTATCGCGTGATTGATGACACAATAATTAACCAAGGGGAAGGCGCAATAACCGACGATACGGATAATATGCTTGATAACGGTTAGGTTAGGTTAGGTTAATCAAATTCCGCCTCGCATCCGGTAAGCATCGGCAACGAGAAAATTCTCTCTCTCTCTCGCTATTCTCCCTCGACTCCATCTCCGTTATGGAACGCGAGGCGCAGATTTAAAATCATTGCACCGTTACGCGCACAGGCGTTCACGACAAGCCGAGCCCCGGAAGACACGTCTTGTCCTTCTATCCAGAGAGTGGCGATAAATTGACCCGTGTAAGCGACGGTTTGGCGCATTCCATGTCGTAGATCCATTGTGGCCCGAAGGATTACTCAGCGGTTGAATGGATGAACGGACGTTCTCGGAGTACGCTCACGTACGTGCACCATTAATTACGCGGCGTAATTAAACATTGTGTCGAATTATCTTTCTCGTCCGCGACCGTGGCGGACTAGGAAGTGAGAATGAGAGAGAGAGAAGCGGGCTGAATAAGAGGGCGAAGAAGGGTAGGACCAGACGTGGGCGCCGTCTTTTGTCGATATAGCTTATAATCTTATCCGCGCGGAAGCTAATTTAATGTACGCTACGTAAAAGTTTCGCCAAGAAACTAAACGCGGCTCTGCCGGGCTTATTCACGGCATCGGCGGATTAAACTTCGCCGGGAATCCTCTTCAAAAAGAGCTTTTGTGTTATATCACTTTGATATAGTTCGCGGTGTGAAGCCACCTATCCGCTCGTTACGAGGCGGCCATTTTCAAGGAGATTTCCCAAACATCGAAATCCTATTATTCAGCCCCGGGGCCAACATCGGATAATTTCGGATAACTGGCAGGAGGGAATCGGGCTCTCGGCGAGACTTGAAAAAGATAAACATCTACCCCTGAGCCGCGCCGGATATCCCCGGAAAAGACGGGAAAATGGAAAGAGTACGCTTCCGTGATATTTCTCGAGTGCGGGCCGGAGAAGCACGGCGGTCGCAAATTATTAGCGAGGAGCTTACGTACAGTAAGCCCCTCCTACCTCGCACACTCGCCGCCTGACTCTACGCGGCTACTGAATAAACACTTTGATTTATGCGACACTGTGCACCCGATAAGGATAAACCCACGACCAGAACGGAGGCGAGTCAGAGAAGGCCGAACCGTTTGGATAGAACACAATCCGGGATGTGGATTCTTTTGTATCTCTCTCGCCACTTGTTCCATTCCGTATCTCGTCACCCTCTTCCACCACTATACTTTTATCTCTCTCTTTCACTCTTCCTTTTTTCTTTTCTCCCTCTATGTGGGTCGTTATTATAAATAACACATCTTAAATTTTCACCGTAACGATAAAAGAGTTATTTTGCGCACTTTTGTCACGAAACGCACATTATTTACGGAATGTTTGGAGAAAACTAATCATCACGAGGTATCTCGTAAAGAAAGATACGTAACTCGCATATAGAACATATAACTCAAAAAAATATATATATGACACATGTAATATCCAAATTTAACACAGCACATATATGCCGTGTCTAGCACAGCATACATACAAAAAATATAATTATATATGTATATATATAATAAAAAGAAAATATATATATATAATATATAATAAAATATATATATATATATATATATATATATATATATATTTTCTCGTATAATGTGCTACCCGAAATACGATATGTGTGCTCTGCACGTGACAGTTCCTCTTTCCCACCCTTTATACATATATATATATATGTGTGTATATACATTTGTTTGTATATATATATTCCAAAATATAATAAAATTCCCTCCTCTCTTTCCCTCTCTTTCCACGTACGTTTAAAAATTGGCATTGGTAAAAAATCGAACAAACAAACGTCAACAGCATGGTCGGCCGGGATATTTTCTCGCGATAACATCGACAATCGCTCGTAATCGATCGGATGTTCGCGATATCCGCGCGCTAACACAACTAATTATTCGCCTCTGCCAATTATTACTCTATGACTAAAAGCACTTGATCGATTAGCGCTGTTAGACACTCTAGGGCTGACGCATTCTAGAAGTGCTCTTTACTCTGCGCCGGCTAACTCGCCTCCTAATCCAATCGATGGTAAATTACTCTTACGTCATGGCGATCGGCGTGTAACGGGCGAACGCGGTTAATTCGTCAGCGATGCCATTTCGCGCGAAATTTATTAATGATAAGACGCGCGAAATTATCAACGACGCGCGCGGTGACGTTCCATCCGCGCCGCTCCCGTAATTTCCGATTTTAATATCGGTTGAGAACGTGAGAGAGCACAGATTCGCGCTCGGCGCGTTTTCGCACACGCCCCTCGCAGTTTTCCTATGTAAACGTTGTTACGAGCGAATTCCACGATCAATGAGGCGTGTAATAAGACACTTGATATTCTGGCTTTGCAATCTCGACAACACTGAACTTCAATGGCGACGGGAAATGGCGGAAATAGATTTCGCCGCGGTGCTACGCGGCCGATCTGCAGGTGGCCCGCAGTTCACGATTCTCGCGTTACATTGCGCATCGCGATTATCGTCGCGCGAACAATTGTCCTTTCCACTTTGTTAAACGGTGCCGCGGTAGAGCTCGGTTTGCGCGATCGTACGGTAAACGTGCGGCTATCTTCCGCACCGTAAGATCAATATCTAGTTTCGCACAACAAGATACTTCTGCAAAATTTAATTTCACGAGTGCGGAGCATCGATCTCTGTGTGTGTTTTGTGAAACTCTACCCGACGGTAAGTTAACACATATCAAAGTTTTCGCGAGGAGAAAAAAAGCGCGCGTAAATGGGCGATTGTTGTAGCACGGTATAACGCAACAACAAAGTAGAAATATGAATTTTGTTTCAATGTAACAGATCTGTTTCCAGCGTGATTTCCCGCGTGTGTGTTGCAAAACCGAAGGGCTGCAAAACTAGATATTGCACGAGGCAACTCACAAACGCGTAATGTTGCTATTCCGAGTGTCTTATTAAAACTGCAATTCGCATTATTACAAAACGTATCAAATATTTATGTGGTCCGACATAATTCGATGTTACATATTATTTAGTTAAATATCAAAATGATACCTCTACCACGCGTAATGCTGTAATAAACGATACGAATGATGAATGTATCAAACTTTATGTAAATTTCATTGGTTCATTCGCATAATAATAAGGTGCGATAATGCTGTAACAGTTTTGGAAAATGAATTCTTCAATGAGCTGTATAATCGTAAAAATGACTCTAGGTCGATCGATTTCTGTCTGCTGTTCCATTGGGTTCTCAGGAAAAGACGTGCTATTTTACTCGAATTTATCCGCTATTTTACAGAAGAAAAGTGGAAATAACCGTAAAAAAATATACACTCCTTCTCAGTAGCAGAGCGGAAGGATAACTAACCCGCTCCTTCAAAGTAACATAAAAGCAAAATATCTTTCCACGCTCTCCGCTAGCACGCTTCATAATCGCGGTTAATATTGCCAGTAAACGAGCGATATTCGACGGCAGAGAGATCCGCAACTCGATAATGCACCGGCGCAGCGATTAGGGTTAAATGGGACTTACCCCAGGCGAGGACGAGGACGAGTGCGAACGGTGCCAGTGACGAGAACACGAGACCACGATCCACGTGGGCCGACTGGTTCGTGCACGGCCGATCGCTGGCGAGTTCTCTCTTCCGCGACTTTACGTTGATCCTCGACGGTGCCGTCATTGTCGTCGGGTTCCTTGGGGAAGAGTACGTGAGCGAGCAGGAGGGAAGAGGTATATATGGCCAGGATGAGAGAGGGATCTACCACTCCCGCTTCATCGCGAGGGTGAGCTGATTCACCTGTCCGGCTTCCGGCTGTGTACCAATATAAACATAAGTGAGTGCAAAGTCGAGCAAGTCGGATGGAAGGACAAGTATGTACGTGTGCACGCGCGTGTACGTGTATAGGGGCGGGTAGATGAAGGGGGATGGATGTGAGACGACGTACAACCACGCACGCAACCCTGCCTCGAGCGCAACCCCTCAGCACCCGCCGCGTCGAGCGCTTGCAGATAGACTAAACCGGGTCCTTCGAGCTGCGCGTTAAGTTCCCGCGGTAGACCTCCGACACTCGCGCGACTCGACCGTCCTCGGACGCGCTCGACGATATTCGGTGCCGACCGGCCACCCTCGGCGCGCGCCGGCATCCCCTTCGCTCTACGCCCGCGAGTACGATACGACGACGCATACTGACGAAGACACGGATACAGGAGAAATTGCACGTACCCTAATGCCCGTATCACACTGCAATTTCGCCGGTTATTCGATGGAAGTGAAATATGAAGTTAGAGATCGCCCGACAGAGTATCGTTCGAGGTATCGACGGGGGACAGGGAGAGAGAACGTCGAGGTGAGACATTGTGCGCGCGTCTGCCCAGCCGCGATAAATTACACGCGAATCCTTTTCCATCGCTCGCCTTTTCTTTCGACATATATAGATCTGAACTGGAAAAGATTTATTTATTTGTCTGATGACTCGCGCGCTAAGCTGTACTACAAATCTGTCGCTCGAGGACAAATGTACGCGGAGAACGACGACGCGCGACTTGACGGCTGAGCAAGTAACGTTGTATTTGCTGGAAAACCATGCGTCCTTACGACTGCAGCAAAATTTAAATACGCGATAAGAACAAGCGCGTGGAAGAGGAAAGAGAAGATAAATTACTCTCCTTAGAGTAACTGTGTATAATTATTATATGCTCGAGGGAAGAAAATTTGTCCTCGCATTTACTATGCTATATTAAAAATTCTCATTCTCCTAAAAAAGATACAAATAAGAAGAAGCCAGCAAATATCCGATATTTGAACGAGTATATAACGTCAATATTCTTTAAAAATGCATGTTCTTCCCGCGGTTTCCAGTGGCGTCTCAGTGTAATTAAGCGCGTTCCCGTTTAGAGAATATTAAAACCACCCTTACTATGGCTTGTCACACTGAAAAACTGAGCACAAAAGGCACGAGTATATATAAACGTGAGTATCTAAAATAACCGTTCCTCCTTGAAATAATAATCGCGGTTTGGGGGAAAAAATTACCCCCCGCATAATTTATCACTTCATTGCGGGATCGCCCTCTTACTCAGGTAGAGAAAAGTTGCGAATAAGATTAGGTTTCGCGAGTGCCCAACGGAGTATTGCCGAGTAACGTCACGTGAACATGCGTGAGACACGCACACGAGACGTGTATCTTTCTCGCTGAAAGAATACACTCGCGAAAAGATGCGGCGTGATGTACAGCCGGTGAGTTCGATTTAAGTCGTCCCGCACGCGAGACTACCATCACCGCGGAACATGGACCTTACTTCACCGTCTCTTTCCACTGATCCCATCACCTCCTCTCCCCCTCCCCCTTCCTCCCGTACCTCTCGCCTGTGCTTGCTATATCCTTGCTCAGGGGCTACGTTCCACAGTAGCCTTCAGTGCGTAACACCAGCCCACATCACCAGCCGGCGCGGAGCGAGGCAACCAACCACCATCAACCACCGACCTCAAAGAGCGAGAGACCCGCGTAACCTTACGCCACCACCCCTGCCCCTGCCTCAACCACCGCCGCTCGCTCTCCCCACCGTCCCCGTCGCCTCCATCACCACCGCCGCCGGCACAAATTAAATAGCCGTGCAGCGCACGTAGCCGTTTACCCTTACTATACCGCTGTGTCGGTCGCGCTGCTCTGTTTTTCATGCGCCGTTGGGCCGAATTTCTTTTGAAGACTCCGACAGTTACTAATTTAAATCGCTCGCTCCCAGCTTCGCGGTTTGCGCTCCTTTTTTTGTCGCAGTGTGTCATACGATCGACGACTGTGTTATCAGCTTCGGGCAGAGATGGGGATAGAATCGCGTATCGAAGCGGACCCGACGAAGTGAATGCAATTGTCTTTTGTCGGAGCAGTCGCGCAAGAAATCCGCGCGCGCTGCTCGAAGCCAACGATTGAAACCGGCGTAATTGCGAGGAGTTCGATTCTCGATGCCGCGCGGGTCGGCAGAATGAACGTTACGACCATCACCGCGTTTTTATCATCACGGAAGAACATATGAATTATCGCCGCATATAGGAACGGGACCTGAATTCACCTGACGTTATAACGGTACTAAGAAAAAGAGGCGAATACGTGCGGGGAAAGCCGCAGGAGCTAGAATATAGCGACAGAAGTATGCAGCTAAGACGTGTTATTGAAACGGAAACGGCTAATGTATCGTCGCCAGCGAGAAGCTAAATTCATTAGTCACTTTAACTTCGACGCGTTACGGCAATATGTATTCGCTGCCGGATAAAAGGTCATCGTCATTTCGCTTTTCTCTCGAATTGCGCTCTACATCCGTTGAAAATATGTAACTGACGCTTCGCATTACAAATCCGAGCGAATATTTCCCATTGAATTTTGACAGAGGTTGATAACATTCAATTTATCGTAGACACGAAAACCGATGTCTTTCGTACTCACATAATTACTGTCCCTTGTTTCGAGGAAGGATGATTTCATATCCATCGGAAGCGCAGTAATTTCCCCTTTCCAACGATCCTCGTCTCAAGTCGCTACGACGTCCGCGAGTGAAGTTATCAACGATTGTATCGATCCGCGCACTAGATCAGTCCGCGTTACGGCTGCAGCGAGCCGGAGTACGTGACGACGCGCGCATGAACGGAACGTGAGACGCGACTACTGCTGCCGCGAGAAGTCACCTTGCGCGCTGTACTGGGAGGGGGGGGG